CGTGTGCCTGTAATCCCAGGTTTTAGAATTATTTAATGACACTATTTAGAATCTATATATTCCAGTATTTTTACTGTGTATAATCCAAGAGATTTTTAAATTTCTCTTCCTTTTTCACAACTGAAATGACTGTCACTATGTTTTGGGAATATATTATTAAAGTAGTTTGAGATTGGATGAAAATACACCCTTAACCCCTATTTGGTAATTTTTAAACACAATTCTCAACCTCACATATCTTAACCTTTCTTTTTCTTTTTTCAGGATATTGAAAAGATTTTTAGTAACATTTCAGATATACATGAATTGACTGTGAAACTTTTAGGTTTGATTGAAGACACAGTTGAAATGACTGATGAAAGCAGTCCTCATCCGTTAGCTGGCAGCTGTTTTGAAGATTTGGCGGAAGTAGGTTTACAAAACTACTTTATATTCTCATCAGAGTTTATAAAATAGCAATCCTTGTGTTAGGAGGAATTTATCTTAGTGTAAAATAAAAATATTGTAAACAAATAATTGCAGCACAATGTGATTAAAACCATTATACTAATAATTCCAAGGTGCAGTGGAGAAAGTAATCAACTCTAGTGTGGGTGAGGCCAGGAAGACTTTATAGAGAAGGTGCCTAACTAAACTGGGACCTCTGAGGGTGAATGACCTCCAGGATCTAGCACATGCCAGTGGTTCTTAGCCTTTAATGCACATCAGAATTACCAGAAAGCTTTTAAAGGGTACTCATGCTTGTGTCTCACCCCCAGAGATTTAATTGGCCTGGATTTGACCTCTAAGCCTCAGTATTTTTTGAAAGCATTTCAAGTGATTCTGATGTGCAGTTTTAATGGCTGAGATCCATTATACTATGCCATAATTTCAAAAATGATTTTTCACTTAAATTTCATGGTAGGAATTCCTTGTCCTTTTTATTTTGACTTCTAAAATTATGATTACTTTTTGTTTTTACTTTGAGAGTATTTTGGACTTACAGAAAAGTTGAAAGTACAATAAAAAGTATTCCTTCGCTGCTTGAACCATTTGAGAGTAAGTTGCCAATATAGTGTGTCCTACAAATAAAAACATTCCCCAGTATTACTGCAGTATGACAATGAAAATCCAGGAAATTAATACATTGATACATTGTACCATCTAACTCTCAAACATCATTCAAGTTTTGCCGCTTGTCTTTTATAGCAGTGATCTAGTTCAGAATCACTTGTTGTTTATTTAGTTGTCATGTGTCTTTTTTCTCCTTCAGTTTCCTTTTCAGGATTATACCTTCTTTCTGAACTCTCAGAGTACTTTTCATTCAGTCTTGTATGACTGAATGAATAACTAGGTCTATTTTTTTTTTTTAACTATTATTCTAAAATGTATGGTCACCCTCTCCTATTGCTTTTGATTTACAACTGGTTCTTGCCTGTTGATTGATGTACGTCCATGGTAGCAGTCTTTACTATTTCTGAAAGAAAAAATGGTCACTAGAGCTGTTTAAGCATCTATGGGTGTTTGAGTTTAGCAAATGAACTTAATAGCAATAGTCAGGGTAGTAAATATACATCAGAAAAGCATCACACTGATCATTACTTAATGAATATTTTGTAAATAAAAGGACATTTAGCTACAATTTCCCATTTTCCCTATGTATGGCGACTTTTGGTATACCCTGTATTACACACGCATGTGTATCTACATACATACATATTTCATCATTAGGTCTATCCTGTTTCCAGAAATATTTATTTTGCCATATCCAGTTTTATTTGAACATTTCCCACCTTCAACTTTTTATTTTTCTTTTATTCTAAATTTTCTTATATAAATTTGCCTATAATACACACATCGTTTAATAACGTTTGATTTCAAGTACTTTGAAGCAGTTTTATAAAAGTAAGGAAAATAAGTTTATATGTTACTGATTTATATTTCTCAGGTTTTGATGGACATGTTTGATCAAGATGACATAGGTTTGGTTTCTCTCTGTGAAGATGAACCTAGTTCTTCAGGTGAATTAAACTACTATGACCTTGTCAGAAGTGAAATTGCAGAAGAAAGACAGTATCTGCGGGAACTGAATATGATCATAAAAGTGTTCCGAGAAGCCTTTCTTTCTGACAGAAAACTGTTTAAACCTTCTGTAAGTACCTTTTTGGGTTTGAAATTCTATGTACCCAAAAAGTCGAACAGCAGCTTAAAATCATATTAATAAATAGTAGCTTTATATACTTTATGAATATATAAAATGCTTTTATATATTTATGGGTTTTAAAAAATATGTGAA